TACTGCTATTATCTTTTCAAATATCAGTTAATTTGATATAATTTTTAATAGAAAATGAAACAATTCCTTGCTGATGATCCTAAGGGAAAATAAACTAGAAATGGTATTATGTATTATGAGAAATTTAGAAACCGTTTTTGGGTCAAATCAGGTAAATGATATATTTTTTCTTATTTTGAATCTTATTAATGAATTTAATTTAATTATATCAATATTTTCAGTTATTCATAGACCTAGATGATAATAATATCAATAACTTCAATAGCAGCTATAACAAATTCAACAGTAGCAGCAGTAGCTACAACAATAATTATAATAATAGTAACAGCAACAGCTTCTACAAATTCAAAAGCAGCAGCAGCAGCTATAATAACAACTCCAACAGTAGCAACAACTGCTATAATAACGTCAACAGCAATAGTTAATACAAATAGTCAAATCACTTTTATCTTTGGGTAATTCTAATAATGAAGGAAAAGAAGATAAAGAAGTGAACGCAAGCTAATCAAGTTGGAAAACTAATCATGATGATAAGTGAAGGTGAGTTTATTGAGTTGAAAAATATTTACTATATTTAAACATATATATAATTTTAATTCTTTTATGCTTTACTTATAGTTATTAAATTACTTTTAGATTTATCGGAAAGAAGGAAGTTTTATATAATAATTATTTTTTGCAATTTGTAAAATTTTAAAATAAAGTCAATTGCTTTTATTATTTTTTTTTTTGCTTATTAAATAAATTAATTCAAAAACATTTTATCTTCTAAGTGTATAAATTATAAAATTATTTGTTTTATACAATTAATATTAAGATTATATATTAATTTATTTATGATTGATAAAATACCTGTGTATTGATCAATTTACTTGATTTGAAAATTGTTTGATACCCAGGTCTTAACTTAAGAGAATTATTTTGCATCTAATAAAATATCTGGATATATTATTAATGAGATACTATCAAAAGGAGGTCTCTTAGGCAGTGCTTTACGGTATGTTGATACTTTAAAATTAATTTTTAATGCTAAACCTGTTTGTATTATTAAGGATGAAAGCAGTGATGATTGTATATGAAGTGTAATTAATACCCTTTTTACATATCGTTTAGATACTAAATTAGTATCTGTTGATTTTTTAGAACAAGTTAATAATTCAAAAATTGTACAAACACTTCTTCTTATATTACTTTTTATAATATACCTTTGAATCTTCTATTTTTATTTCTCTCTGGTTCTGCTACATATATGAAAAAATATTATTGTGATGTTTTAAAACCAATTATGTCACAATTAATACATTTACTATATCTTACATATATATTAAATCTAATTGGATAAGTTTACTTTAAATTAAATTTATTATATTATTTATTAATTATTACAAATATTAAATCTTAATATATATTTTAAACAGTAAAACTTGGCATAATTTTCCATAATTTTCACTTTTAAAAAATTTTTTACAACTTTACTTACGCGATCAAAGTTAATTTCCTAGCTAAAATAAAGGATTCATTTGTCAAGTCACTTGTATGAAAAGCTTACTATATAACTCATCTACAAATGAATGAAATTGCATTACCATGTAAAATTCCATTACCAAACAAAACACGATAGAATAGTTAGTTTAAAATAAATTTTTACACTAAAGAATATATTCAATATTAGCAAGATTTTTACAAATTTGAACATGAAAATGATTTGAAAAATAAAGCAATAGATCTCTTTATTCAATTTTACAAAATACACAACAATTAGGAACTATTATAATCTACACAAATTTTATTTCAACTTATGCTAAAGTATTTATTTAAGATCTGGATTTCTTTCAACAACAAAACAAACCATTTTTTCCACTTATTGAAACAAGGTTAACAAATTTTACAGCTTAATCAAATTATTACTCATTTTGGTATGGAATTTAAAGATCTTATAACACGACTTTATTTTAATCCATCAGATTTTTATTTTATTTTCAAGTAGCATTTCAGATAGCATACAAAAAATTTGAATTACACATTTCAAAACATCCAACTCGTTTATTATTTCATGCAATTCATGTTTTTGATCCTAAATACATACATTTAGGAAATAATATTCAAAGACATAGCATTTATCAATATTCAATTATTAATGAACTTAATAATCCTTCTGATGATTTATTACATAAATGGGATATTTATTGTGGATTAGAATTTGATGAAAAAGTAAATTAGATATTTATTGCAATGCGTTTACCAATTCTTTATCAAATATCATTGAATTATATTTGGTTACCTATATCAAGCTGTGCTGTTGAGCGTAGTTTTTCTATACAATACTTTATTAGATAATAATCGTCAATACAATCACTTAAACAACTTAATATGATGTATTTTAATTGAAATAATTAAATAATTTGTAATTTTTTTTGTTAATTGTAATAAAATTATAATATATAATTATCACAAAATATCATAAATATTATAAAAAATACCACAAAATCAATAAAAATTAAATCACAACGCAAGATTTACATCACACACAAAATTTACTTTATATCACCACAATCACCACAACAAATAATTGTCCCTGATATGCACATATATTTGCGCCACATATTTCTGGTATTTGACATCTTTGAATTAACTTATACTGTAAATATCATTATCCCTGAGGTTCAGCTTGATAACATGTATTTTATAAATAGATTCGAATATAATTTTCACAAAATAAAGTAGCCAAACATTCTTCTCAACATTCTTTTTTGTATCTCATTATAGAGATTTTATTATGATTATAAATTTTAGTTAATATTTCTATCGCCATTGTTTTTTCAACTATCGTCAAGAAATGTTGATTAGTTACTGTAAGTAACATGAATATCACTATCCAAAACACAGTGGCCTATAAAGTGCAGCGTTTAACTAATTATAAAAGGAATCTTTGAAATAAATTAAAAAACGATAAATACTGGTGATAATTATATTTAAGGGAATTTACCGTTGCACCTATTTTATTCGATCATTAAAAAGTTTTTTTTTAACGTAAATCACAAACATTTTTAAATAAAGCTCTGATTGATATGGGTTTGAATATAATCGTCGTTAACTAAACCTCAGGGTATAATTCCAATGAATCCAGTCTTATTGCGCGATTGCAGATTTTTTTGCTTTGACGCATTACTATCAGAATAATCAGAATAATTTATATAAATTCAAATAATGCAGCCGAATAAATAATAAAATTGGGTCAATTATTTACGTAATCAAAGCATAGCATGTCTCTTTCTTTTTCTTTAACGTTAACGGAATGGATGAATATAAATCATTTTTACAAAAATAACTTTTTTTTTATTTTTTGAGGGGCAATGTAAAGATTTTCTAATTACATATTCGATTCGTTACAAAAAAAAAAAAAAAAAAAAAAAATTTCGAGAACTTTTTTTTTAAAAAAAGAAACTGACTTTTTTTAATCCAATTTTACCAAATGGAATAGAATATGTTATAAGGTTTTGTTTTTCCTAAAATTATAAAAAAAAAAAAATTTTACAAAAATTATTCGAATGTTTCGGGGCTCCAGCGGGAATTGAACCCGCGGCCTCTCGCACCCAAAGCGAGAATCATACCACTAGACCATAGAGCCGAATCTTAGTTTAAAGATTTATTTATTAATATATATATAAATATCCTTTGAAGCGTGTTATATTTATAATATAATATAGAAATGTGTGTCAATCAAATGTTTGGAATTTTCTTAAAAAATAATGTTTGTTAATCGTAACCACTTAAGGCATGATTAAAATATTAAAAATGTCGGACCTTTTTAGCATATTGATACCATAATTTATTGGAAAAAAAAAAGTATAAAGTTATTATTGTCCAATAAAATGAATGATTTAATTTAAAATTTTGATTTTTTTGTCGCTATCATAAACGAATTTTTTTTTTTGACACAAATTCAAAGCTTTTTTGGTATCTGTTATGTATAGGAAGATGCACATTTTTTTTATGTTGTCGTTTATGGAACTGTGTTTTATAATTATCTGCACGTGTAGGACTGATTTCCTTATAAGGAAATTTTTAATTCAAAAAAAAAAAAAGATCATTCGATGAATATATATATAATCGTTGTTTTGTTTCTATATCAGCTTTCTAGATAATATCAGATGCGAACACTTTTCACATCAATATAATTAAACTGACATAAATGAAGAAGCCTAATATAAAGAAATTATTGCATTAACAGTTCGATAAGCACCAATAATTTTACTTTGGAGCAGTTTTTCAAGAAATTGTACAATCCCATGTAATTTGTTGTGTATTATTACTTTTTTTTAAAAAAAAGAATATTCATTGAAAGTCGTTCAGAATTTTTAACAACCAGTTTCTTCTTGATTATCATTTCGTTTTTTATCAATACAACAAATAAATATACTATTTAAATATAGCATTAAAAGGTAAAGGATTAAAGTCAAGGAGTAAAGGAGATAAAAACAATTATCCTAACTCACAGAAATAAAAATAATATCGAAGCTTGAATGCATAACAATAAATGTTAAACATAAATTTCAGTTGTTTATTTAAGGACGGAATACTGCTAGAAAATATTTAAATCATATGTGCATTGTCGGTATGGTAGTATAATGATACGGTATTGTTTCTCTTTGGACATCTTTATTATCGACTTTTAGGAACATTAGCTATGATACCGATATCAATTTTTTAAATACGGATAACGTAAGATACTTTTTAAACTTTTGACAATAATAATTTATCAAAATAATTTTTTGCATGCCGATGTTTAAAGAAAAGCAATATAATGTCAAGCTTATGAGTTTGTTATTATTATCACAATTATTAATTTCTTAAAAAAAAAAAACAAAAAATTTTAAATCATCAATAATAATAAATGTCAAATTCTCAAAGATTTAATCTATAGCTATTTAAAACAAAAGAAATAAATTCACCATATAGTAATAACAAATATTTACAACATAAATTGTGACATCCAATTCCTACTCCATATTTACCCTTTCTCTTGGTACTAATTTAACAATAATATCATTCTTTGCCATCACAACAAATCTTTCTTCCTTTACAACATCTTCCAATTTCATAGCCAATTCTACATTAAATTTTTGCATAATTAAACAAATCATCATCTTAATTTCAACCATAGAAATTCGTTCTGCAGGACATTTTCTTGCTCCGAAACCAAAAGGACAATAGGTATTTGGCGTAAAATCTTTAATTTTATTATATGAGAAACGTGTTGGATCAAATTTTTCGGGTTCAGGAAAATAATCAGGATTCTCATGAAATAAAGGAATTGGATAAATAATTGTTGTGTCTGCTGGTACCGTAAAGCTCTTGGATTCTACAAGTGTTGGAAGTAAGGTTTCCGATTTTAGTAATCTGGCACAGAAAGCTCCTGGCGGATGAACTCTTAGAGATTCCTTAACAACTTGAGTTAAATATTCCATTTTTGAAAGTTCTATTGAAGGTAACCTCATTAGATTTAGGATCAAGGGTTTGTAGTAAATGTATATACGCTTAATCGTATTAAAATTTATTCATACCATCAAGGTTAGGTAAGCGACCTTCTAATATTTTGTCAATTTCTTCTTGGAGTTTTGTTTGAACATCAGGATTTTGTGTTAAGGCCAAAATAGTATAAGGAATTGCAACACCAGTTGTATGAAATCCGGCCATTATATAGCCGGAAATGATGCATGTAATCTATCAATAAAAAAAGAACGACACGATTATTAATATTCAAAAAAAAATTTTTTCCTCAACAATAGATGTAGGAAATAAATGAACATACCGATTCATCAGAATATGGTTTTTCAGTTTCGGGTTCATTATTGGACACTAGGATATCAAGTAAATCTTTCGCACCAGTTTTCTCTTCATTTGTTCCAGCAGCTTTCTTTCTTCTCTGATCAATAAAGTTGCAAGACCAACCTTTCAAAACCTCGAGAGACTGTTGGAATTGTTCTTCGCGTGGAAAATCCAATATACCAAATTGTTTATCAAATAAACCACTTAATACGATATCATAAGACCTCTTATAGGTGCTTATATCAAGATCTTCTGTATCTATGCTAAAATTTTTTTTATAAAAAAGTTAAAATTTGTCTTTTGCGAAATAATACAATCGATAACATACCTGAGAACAACATTAAGAGTAGCTCTCATAGAAAATTCAAGGTTTTCTTCTTGCATCTTAAAAACATGATCTTTATTGTCCTTCACAAGTTTTTCCCATTTTTTAATCATTTTGATTCCAAAATCTCTAATACTTTTATACTTTGCAACAATAACTTTTAAAAAGGAATTATAATAAATATATTTAATTCATCGATTTTTCGTGTATAGTGAGGGATATAATTACCTTCATTTCCTAAAGAAGGTGCAACTAATTTCCTAAATCTAGCAGCTCTGTCGGCATTATAAACTTGTAAATTATCTTCCCCGAGAAAAGGTTCCAAGAATTTAAATAAATACACAGGACGGTCACCAACTGGTAAAGTAGCTTTTATGATCATAGGATCGATAACTGAAATAGTATTTGGATAGGGTAACTTTGATGAGACACAAACACCTTGATCTGCATGAAGTTTGCGAAGATATGGTATAAATCCTCCATAAGAAGAAATATCAATATTTTCATTTTTATCAGTAGAAGGTTCCGCTTCATAATTGATGACGGTAGTAGTTCTTTCGTGAATAATAATAGTTTGTTTTGGAATTACACTCGAACGATTCAAACGGGAGGCACGTTTTCTGTACAGATAAAGAGTAGGTACGACGAGACATACTGCTGTCACAATCAAAATTTTAGCGAAATCAAATTTATTTAAAGTTAAAATGTAATCGAAAATTTGTTTAAAATCAACCATTTTGTCTTGATTCAAGAAGGCGTGCGAAAAAAAAGGTCAGCAAGCATAAATATAGGAAATTAGAGATTAAGTTAGTATTTGGCGTAGTAAAATACTTTCCGTAGTAAAATAACATGTTACTACTAACTTATAAAAAACGCGTATGACTTAATTAGTTCTACGCCAAATGATTCCTAAACCCATTTTGAATTAGGAATGTGAATTGGTCAATTTGTATGTCGATCATTTCCTAATTATCACTAAAATAATTAAGTTGATTGGTTCAATTTTATTATTAAATTTAATATTAATTTTAAGTGCGAATAAGATCTACAAGAGCGCAGTTCGATCATGAAGCATTACTATTTATAGAAATTTATCATTTAACTTGAACATCTGTTAATGGTAAAAAGAATTCAACCTTGGAACATATTTCTTTTTTCTCGGAACTTTTTATTCAATAAATATATTTTTTATTCATGTCTAAAGAAATCTATGAATATTTCAACCGAGATCCTACGAAATGGAGCATCCTTAGTTTCCTGAACGAATGCGAATTAGAACCGTATGAAACAAAAATAGATACTTATATAAAACAACTCAAACAAATAATTGAATGTGACTATGAGAAAGATGACAGGAAGAAAAGTGCTCAGATTCTGTTCGATAAATACCAAAAGGCGAGTAAAAATCTCTTTTCACTGAGAGTGTAGGTGAGATAAAGTGGCGTGACGGAGTGACCTTCTTGGTAGTCCAGTCATTCAAGGCTTTTTGCCGAGCCACGAAACTGGTGTTGGCGCTACTCGAGTTAACGGTGGCTAAAGGCTTCTTGCCGATCCAACATTGGACCCACTGGGGCACAGGTGACCTTCTTGGTTGCGATGTGTTCTGGTGGGAGGAAAAATTGGATGGATAAATGTTAGCAGAAAAATATTTTAATTTCCAGATCCTATTTTCTAGGCTCCCCAACCCGATCGTAAGAAAGCAAGAGAGTGGGAGGAAAAACGTTCGCGTAGGTAAATAAACATGAATCGACCTACAATTGCAGGCATCAACGGGATCATAAACGGAAATATAAACGGCGGAATTTTTACTGGAATATCAGAAAGGACTACATTAAAGAGAGATCGAGAAAAGGTACAGATGCGCGGTTTTTTGTACCGTGAATTGGCAGAACTAATTGTGTGATTATTCCATTACTTAGGACTACGATGTAGTCACAAACAAACAAAAATTGACGATGAGAATGCTCAATGGCCCTGTATCCAAGCTCACATACCTCCTTTGAGAGTTGTCTCTCCTTCAAACAGCTATCTTTACAGCACCCAGCAGGAATTAATTAATCACATTTCGAAATGTTTTACTTCTTCAATTCCAGCTGTAGGAGCAAAGCGTAATGAGCCCAGTGATAACAATGAAGAGCAGGTTGAGGGTGATGAGGAGATAAAAGTTGATCTAACAAGTATCACAGAGCATGTGCAACGTGCACCAACTAATGAGGTAAATCTCACATGTCAAGATTTATTGTTTTTTTCGTATATCTCAGTTTTTTTCTTTCTTTAGTGGAAAGTTGGTGACATCAACGTGACACAGAGGTTCCGTCATTACCAGGAAGAGGTACTTATAAAAGCGGAGAATGAAGGTTTGACATATGAGAATATTTACGAAGTCCTGTAAGTATTTCAAGACATGTAAAGTTTTGACTAGCGCAACAATCATATTGAGCATCTTTTTCTTCACTTCATTTAGAGCTTTATCATCAATGATGGTGCTCTGTTCGCCATGTCCGTATCACGTGTTCACGAATCAAGAGTGGAAAGAGATTACGAAAACCAATCCTTACAGTGCAAAAGAACCATTACTTCCGCCAGAAATTGCATCGTCGCTTCGTGATACAGCTGGTAGACATTTTATTTGTGGAGATGTCTTCATGGATCGTGGAGAATCGGAGTTAAATAAATTAGTCTCAATCATGTTCAACAACTTGTAAGTTTACTCGTTCTGTATATTGTGTATTATCCATGAATTTGTGCTTACATAAATTCTTTTACATTACAGATATTATGGCATCCCCGATGTTGCTCCATTGAAGTTATCTGAAGAAGAGCACTGTGACATGTTCGTTTATCCGATCTCTCGTTCATTTCATAGATCTGGAAAAGAATATGACCTTGTCTTAAATCGTGCTACTAGGGGGTCAAAAAAAGTCCCGATTTATCTTGTGTTGTAAATAAAATTCCCATTTTAAACTCGGAATTTAAACCATTGGGGTATACTCCATTGCAACGGAGTAAAGATACCATGAAGGCACAACTAAAGGCTCGAAAATCAATTAATCAGCAACTGGAAACTAAGGGAGGTCCAGGAATTAGTGCCGTATTTTTAAACATGGGTATGTATGCATGCTTGCAATAGATGAGATTACGTGATTTAGATATACATTCAATTATCTCATAATAATCAGGTGATTTAATGGAGTCCTCCATTGTGGATTTGCAATACGACGGCTTATATCGTTCCTGGCCGTTTCTTACAACCAAGCTGGTGATCGACAAGGCTACAATCCCATTAGCAGAATTTGCGATCAGCCATTTAGTTGCATTAGAGGTATATGGCATGTCATCTTTGATTTTCATCATAACCATTTTGCTCAACTATTCACTTTTTTCATGGCAGGAACGTGTTGAAAACATTGCTAGGGACTTCAAATGTCAAAATTATCGAAATAACAAATCTACACAACCTGCAAAAATATCCTTTATGCGTAATCTACCGGATTCTCCACAAATAAATATGTTACTTAATTAGGGTTGAAAGTTAAAAGCAGACTTCTACGAGTATGAAACATAATGAAAAGTGAATCAAATGTCTTCTTTTTGTTCTTTACCAGTTTGTTAATTCTCACAAAAGATTTCACAAATGACTTGGTGAAATTAAGCATCGAGTTCACACTCTTTCTCAGTAATTTTCTATATGTAAAAGTGAAGCATTTAATAAAGTTCACTTATGATTTTTTATGTGTATGATACATGGGGTGTGATGCAGTAGGGAAAATGGTATTTATTAATTGATTTCTTCACATTGCACAGACGTAAAGGTGTACTAACCCGCAAATCGAATTTTTTTTATCTTGGCAAAATTTACAATGGTGTAACGTGTATATTAACAATTCATGAATTTTGTGCAAACTATAACCAATACCAAAATGTTTCATCCTGACTATAATCATATTATTGATAAGCTTCCAGAAAGCCTGATCAAGAGAACGTATCATAGACTTTTAAATCACTCAAGAGATCCTGTTCCATTAGAACTTATCTCTGAAAAGTCTGATTGAATTGAATCATATCTGCACCATAAATTGGAAATTTATAAGAATTCATTAAACTGGAAATGCAAGTCTACGAATCAGAAAAAAATATCACATCCTTGAAGCTGGTCAGAGTGTAATGTATCTTCAGAATTTCCACTTGAATATATTTCAGAAAATGAGAATCATACTGGAATTCTCAGCTGTAATTGTGAGGGAAAGAATAATTACCGGGTTATGAATGAACTTAAAGCCTTATCCCAGCATCTGATTGATTATAATCAAAAGACTATAGAAAAAAATCTTGCAGAATATAGATATGGATTACAAAGAGCGGATTAATGCAAATGAGAAATTACAATATGAAATTGAAAATCTAAAATGCAGATACAGGAGGCAGAAAAAATATTGTATTGATGATATCAAACTCTACTCACTAAAAATTTGATCCCATCCAGCTCGTATCCTATGAGGATAGTTTGAAGGCACTGTTAAATCAAAGACAATAAAATTGCGATCAGTCAAATAGTTAATGACATCTTCATATATACTACACCAGTCATAAGCATATAGACAAAGAATTCTGCTCAATTCTTCTGAAGTGGACCCATTAAAAGTACAACATAATTTAAGTTTTTTCTTATCAATTTTGGACAGTTAAAAAAGCTCTGTGTGATATACATACTGCTAATATTTTTGTGATACCCTTCAGTAAAATAAGAACTGATTTTCTTCTGAACTTTCTTTGAATCAGCACATACATCTTCAAATATAATCCTGTACCTCTTTCTGAAGAAAATGAATTCAGCTTTGGGATTTTATCAGGTTTTATTGCTCGAAATATGATATTTTCACAATATGGTTTTAGGCTATTTGCAATTATCTAATAATCAGATTTGAGATACAAGTATTTCAGCTCCTTGAGATGATGACCTATCAAAAGAAAATCATCATTTTTAATATATCGTGTCCCTTCTTTTTTACCTTTAAACATTTGATAAAGCTTGTTTCCCAATAATAGGTTCACAACTTCATTAGTTTTTTCTGAATTGATACGACCAAAAATTAATACTGTAAAAGGTCATTTGGGAGTTAAATTCAATCTGTTGAATCTTTTTGCATCTTTTATCTCATCAATATGGAGAATGATTCTATCTGCTGAATTAAGCTTTCTGACTTGATGTTTCTTATAATCTTTCATATTGCTTAATATTATACTTTAAAAATATATTATGAAATTTTCAGACAGGCTGTCGTCTCGAGAATTAACTTAGAGAATTATTCAAGAATCCTTTCTCAATTAGCATATGCTTAATGTAAGGAAAAAGATTACATATATATGGATGGCATTTCGATAAGACATATACCTTGCTCCTTGTATATATCCCGCTTCTTCTGCTCTTGTGATTTTTGTTCCTCCAAATCTATATTCCCTCTCCTATAAAACATTGAATTAAGATGATAGTGTTGAGGACCTTAGAATTCAAATACTAGTTGTAGTTCCTCATTATATCCATCGAGTTGCATTCCATCTAAAAAATTCGGTCTATATGATAGAAATTTCTTGCCTAGCAGATCTTCAAAAATATAATGTACATTTCTTTTGCTAGTATAATGGCATAGAAGACACTATTCAAATTTTTTCACAATATATTTTAATGAATAATCCTACTAGTATACACCATTCTCATAAGATCAAAGATATACATTATGACCATTTATTTGCCAGACTTTCCTAGACATTATCTATCATGCTTCTTGACGTATTTTAAAGCCTGAACTATTTCATTATTATTAGGAGAAACATGGATGAAATACACAGATAATATACTTTGGGGTGGGTATTCAACTTTTTTTGGATTAAATATTAGCATCAATTCCTCTCTTACAAATCTTCGCTTTAGAATATATTCTCCATCATCGAAATAATAAAGCACAGATTCATTTTTAGATACTACTATTTTTCAGACTTTATGAAGACTTGGCGATCATATAGGATCAGTTATGTGTCTCTAATTCTTCATGTCTCCCTTCCTTTCTGCATTAGCAAGAAGATAGCAGATAGTATCGCCTTCCCTATAAGAAATCGAAATAAGGAAATGATACGTTTTTTTTAAGGTTTGTATACGTAATTAATGATTCTATATCA